AGGCTCCCAGTACGAACGGTGGTGTGAATAATTTCTGTTTCGAAGGTTCCACGTCTACCGTCCGCATGGTTCCCCCCCACCCAGTACAGCGTTTCGTGGCCCTCCTCCCCATCCTCCTTGCGTTTCACCCACTCAGTACAGCGTTTCGTGGCCCCATAGGGAGCTCCACCGAAGGTTCCAGGTCTACCGTCCGCATGCGTCCCCCCCACCCAGTACAACGTTTCGTGGCCCACCTCCCCCTCCTCCATGCGTTTCACCCACCCAGTACAGCGCTCCGTAGCCATAGGGAGCTCCACCGAAAGGTTCCAGGTCTACCGTCCGCATGGTTCCCCCCACCCAGTACAACGTTTCGTGGCCCTCCTCCCCCTCCTCCCTGCGTTTCATCCACCCAGTACACCGTATCGTGGCCCCATAGGGAGCTCCACCGAAGGTCCCACTGGCACCGCCCGCATGCGCCGGCCACCGCCCAGCACAGCCCTTGCTCCTTGCGTTTCACCCACCCAGTACAGCGTTTCGTAGCCCCATAGGGAGCTCCACCGAAGGTCCCACTGGCACCACCCGCATGCGTCAACCACCACCCAGCACAGCCCTTGCTCCCTGCGTTTCACCCAGCCAGTGCAACGTTCCGTGGCCCCATGGGGGGCTCCAACGAAGGTCCCAGTGGCATCGCCCGCATGCGTCTGCCACCACCCAGCACAGCCCTTGCTCCCTGCGTTTCACCCACCCAAGGCAGCGCTCCGTGGCCCCATAGGGAGCTTCACCAAAGGTCCCACTGGCACCGCCCGCATGCGCCGGCCACCGCCCAGCACAGCCCTTGCTCCCTGCGTTTCACCCACCCGTGCAGCGCTCCGTGGCCCCATAAGGGGGCTCCAGCGAAGGTCCCAGTGGCATCGCCCGCATGCGTCTGCCACCACCCAGCACAGCCCTTGCTCCCTGCGTTTCACCCACCCAAGGCAGCGCTCCGTGGCCCCATAGGGAGCTCCACCGAAGGTCCCACTGGCGCCGCCCGCATGCGCCGGCCACCGCCCAGCACAGCCCTTGCTCCTTGCGTTTCACCCACCCAGTACAGCGCTTCGTGGCCCCATAGGGAGCTCCACCGAAGGTCCCACTGGCACCACCCGCATGCGTCAGCCACCACCCAGTACAGCCCTTGCTCCCTGCGTTTCACCCAGCCAGTGCAGCGCTCCGTGGCCCCATAGGGAGCTCCACCGAAGGTCCCAGTGGCACCGCCCGCATGCGTCAGCCACCAAACAGCACAGCCCTTGCTCCCTGCGTTTCGCCCACCCAGTACAGCCCTTCGTGGCCCCATAGGGAGCACCGAAGAAGATATTCATTATTGCGGTACTCTCAACTGCATATGGTTGGGTCCTTCGCCAGGCTAATTCAAACCGCTGCGGGTGTCGTTGCTCAACCCACGGCGGGTGCCATTTTTCAACTCACGACGGGCTCGTTTTTTCAACTGACTGCGGGGGCCTCTAGGGGCGGATCCTCCTGAGTTTCGGGAGGCGGACAGCAAGCGATTAAGACGCCTGTTTCGGATCAACGGGACAATCACTATATGTTCGCCACGTGCGCGCGGAGTGCCTTGACGGGGGGCGGGGTCTGGGCAGATGCGCCGATCTGTCGGCCCACCCGGGCTTCCCGAAACCAGGATTGAGATGGTAGGACGCCAGGGGTGGAAGAACAGGACAGAACTAGCAGGAACGAGTGTGTGCGAGGCGGCATCCTGCCCCCGACGCCGCAAGTTCAGGCAGCAACTCCCACGCCCCGGCGTCAGCGGCGAGATTGGCGGCTTCGTGGTTCCGACACAAAAAGGAGAGGAAGGGAAATAGAAAGAGGCACACGGGAAAAAAAACAAGACACCGCTATTCACAATTGCAACCACATCCCATCAGCCCTTTGGGACGTAGGTGGTTTAACGAGTTGGTGCCTCCAACCTCCTTGTTCTGTCGGGGGAGGGGCCTTTCCTCCTACCCCCTCCCCCTGAGTCTGGAGGGAGCGTTCCGTGGGTCGGCGGGTGGTCCAGGATGGCCCCCAGATGGCCCCATCGGGGCCCCAGCTAGCCAAGCATGGCTTCCAAGATCGTATCATGTGGTCCAATATTGTTCAAGACAGCTTGAAACATGCCTCCAATGAGCCCAAGACCGTCACATAATGTTTCCAAATGGCCACAGAGCCTAATTACCAAGGACACCCCCGAGAGGCCATAGTCATTCAGAAACCACTCGAAGGCAAGGTGTGATTGTCTTTTTGCCCTTTTCGCTTCCGATGGGCTCTCGAGGATTCAAGATGTTTGCAGGATGGCACAAGCGAGCTTAAGAGCGGCCAAGACGGCCTCAAGGGCGCCCAAAAGCGCCCCAGCAGACTCCAACAGGCATTTCTTCGGCCACCAAGGGGGAGGGCGCAATTGGCGCTCCCGGGATAGATCTAGGAGCCTACAGGATGTCCTCATCAAACCCAGATATGTCATATGGATGTCTCGGGGGGTCTTGAGGATATCCGCTGGATCCCAATGGCTTGCTTCAGGACAACTAAGCATTCCTGAAGGGATCCTGGCGAATGCGCGCGAAGTTCTGACGATTCCTGAGCAGCCTCAAAGGTTCCTTTGATATGCCGTCGGGTTCCAAACTAGGGATCGGAAATATCCTGGATGGATCAATTGAATCTACTCGGGCTGCGTAGACAAAGCCCTCCGGATACCCTCCGGTTCCCTAGGACGTGTGGTATTATTATTCTCCTTCAGGACCCATGACAACACCATGCGCAACCAGATAATTAACCTACGACGTCCCCAACCCATGTGCAACCAGTGCTCAGAGCAACTGGGCAACTTGTTATGAGTGATGGCATGGAGATGGAGCGCGACTTGTTGCGATACCTACATAGGAGGCTTGCGCGTTGCACGACTCAAACATAGCTATAATTAAACGATGCGCTATCGTAGCATAGGATTTGACTTTGAAATAGACAGACGGAACGACATCGATGTCAAACTTGGCGACAATCGCCCGCGCGGGCACCTCGCTAGAACTGTGAAGACGCAATCTCCCCCGCTCCCCGGGGAAGGCGAAGCCCCGCTTGGGCCAGTGTACGTGAGCACCGGTTACCCCACCTGGACGGGTGACCTGCTGAGGCCCAGCGGGGATGGGGAGCGGTTAGACGATGCTGCGTAAGACACCGCTCCGCTGAACCTCCCATGCGTTCATCGCTGACCTCCCAGAGGCGCACGAAAGTGGCGATCGCTGCGAAATTCGTAAGCTGTAGCCCCCCAAGGAGGGTGGCGTCCCGCTCGGTTCTGCATGGGTCACCGCTCCGCTGTACACTCCAAAGGCCCAATGTGATAATTCCGCAATTCGCAGCCCCCTGGGGGGAACGGGATGCCGCTTGGATCTGCTTGGGGCACCACTCTGATGGACCTCCCAATGGCCCACGGCCATGTCGACCTTGCGCAACTCGCAACCCCCCACAACAAAGACGATGAAGTCCCGCTTCGGCCTGCGTCGGGCTAGACCTCCCACGGGCAAACGAACGTAGCGACAATTGGGCAAGTCGCAACCTCCCAAGAACGACGAGGTTCCGCTTGGGTCTGCGTATGGCACCACTCCGCAACTTTCCAAAGGCCCACGAAAGTGGCGACCAAGGTGCATGTCGTACCCCCCTTGGGAAGGCGAGGTCCTGCTTCGTTGTGGGTGAGGCACCACTCCGCTGACATCCCGGGAAAACACGAACGTGGCGTCTGTGGCGCACTTCGCAGCGCCAAAGAAGGGCGAGTAAAAAGTGAGGTAGGATAGAAAGATACGCAGCGCATAGGGAAGGCGAGGTCAACATAGGGTAGGAGAGAAGAAGACGCAGCGCCCAGGGAAGGCGAGGTAAAAGGGAGGTAGGAGAAAGGGATAAAGAAGAAGGCGGGAGGAAAAATATTGAAGAACGCAGCGCTCGATGCCAAACGAAGACCCAACACATAATGGCTGAGAGGTATGCGGTCTATCTAAATATATGCCCCAAAGGCTGGCGTGGCATGGTGTTATCCCGCCGTGTGGAAGCCTTCACAACGACCACAGAACTCATACGGATAAACTAGACCATCCCCAACAAAGCTTTTGGATCACGAAAGAATGTCTGAAGATGTCGTCTGAACATGTCCGCAAGTTGAGTTCATTGACCCCAAAAGAAATCGAATTGATTGACGTGTTAGCAAGCGCAGACTCCACACAATGATTTCTTGCAATCAATGCGGTGGAATCTAGATGGCGCAATCAGTGTGATACAATACAGACTGTGCAACTCATGTGTGGCAATATATATGGCGCTAAGCAATCCAAGCCAACGCAAAGATTCGATGCAAAGCAATGCGAAGCAATGCGAAGGAATGCAGCGCGAACTGATACAAAACGATGACAATTGATGCAAAACAACGCGGCGATGGACGGCGACGAGCTGGACAGACCGCCACTGCGGTCCAGCGGCGACGCGCGGCAACGAGCTGGCGGACCGCCACCAGGGCCCAGCCAAATAGGGTGTCCAGAATAATAAAACGAAACATCTGAGGTGGCGCCAATATCTAATTGCACTATGCTCGCTCCACAAGCACGAACTGGCCACCACCTTCTGCCATGGAGATCGTTGCCAATCCCGCATTTCCAAAGCTTGCGAATTACGAATAAAGCAAACTGTCCTTTAAAGGTCTGGGCCCCGAACTAAAGAACCGCGTGGCCAAATGCGACAGCACAGCACCCGCCGTGAAGGCCAAAACCACTGCTGCAAGCCCAAATTCAAATGTTTCATTCGGAAATGTAGCTGTGCCTACGGCCATCGAAACAGTCCTCGTAGCTTTCAAAAAAGAATCGGTCCATCCCGTCACACCGCCAAACGGTGTGGCGGACTGCGTGGACAATTCCGTGAGCCCAGACGCCAACATCTGGAGCGCAATGACGGGACCCCGGTTGAAATCCTCCAACTTTGGCAAACCTCCAGCTGAAGATTGTCGTTCGACTGATGGCCGGTACTGCCCGGACCACAGTGACGCATAGCGGTTGGCCTGCTGCAGCACGGACACAGGAGGAATTGCTGACATATCTGTGCGAAGATACTTTCTGATGTAATCGAAGAACACCCTGCGCCACGCTATGGTCATAACGTGTCCCACGGGGTCACACGTGAAGTGGGTAACGCCAGCTGGGTTACGCACATTGCATAGCGTCTGCCTTTCTGCCTGGGTCGGAAGGTAGAACCAGGGGGGATTGAACGAGGCACCTATTCCATACAAGCCGAGCGGCTGGGCGCCTCCGAACAGCTGGCGTTCCCAACCACTGTCTTCGAATTGCGGCACGACTCTCAAGGCTTCGGAATAATCCCATGGTATCATCGTGAGTTGATTTGGCGTCCGGCTATCGATGAAAATGCCAAAATTGTGGGGGCCAACGTCCACCCAAAAACTCACAAAACCATCAAAATTGTAAAAGACACACAGTCCGAACAGTGCATCAAGCCATGTGTGCTCAACCGTATAGTTCTGGACGATCGTCCTTGCAGAAGCCTCGTCGCAACCGTTTCGTAGGCACGCTTCGGCGGCAAGGCGGAGATCCACAAGGGGCTGGGCCGCACCAGAAACTCTCGGACCTACCACGATCTTATCGTCATAGGATCGTGCGTCCGTGTATGCCATCCAGGCTTCCCACATGAGCGTACCCTGGAGCCCGCGGCTCTTCAAGAATGGCTCGTCGATGACCTCAACAAGGTTGAATATGCCGTACTCGACCCCGTTCACGTGCAAGAGGGCCCCTGCCACGCGGGATATGAGCATGCCCAGATCATGCAACGTTTGGTGGGCAAGCCGCTCGCGCATCAAGCTTGCATCGCCCCAGGTCATGCCGTGAAACCGGAGCCTCTCCATGCCGTAGATCAATGAATCGGCAGATGCCCCCACAGCCACTTCCCAACCTACACGTCGACATCCAAAATCGTGGTACGATGAAACGTTACGAGGGTAATGGGGTGGCCTCCGCTCAGACAATGCACCGGTCTCCGGGTCCACGCAACCCAACAGAGTCCCGTGCCCCTCATACGAACAATCAACATTCAAGAATACTTTAGCCTCAGGCGTACCAAAGCCAATGGTCAGATTGCAAGCCACATGCGTTTTTTTAAGGGAAACATCCCCATATGTAGACCTCGTCCCTACAGGATCAGCTTGCATGTCACTTAGTGCACGTGGATCAATTTCTAAGTTGACTGAATGAAATGACGTAGGTGAGAAGAGCGCCTCAGAGGTAGCCCGAGCCGACGCACGCGTGAACAACATCCACATCAACACCCACATGGTGCAAGCTGTGACCATCAGTGTGACCCCGTGCTGCTCTTACCAACCTGCCTGGACACAAATGGCTTGAGCCGAAATGGCTAATCACGGACTCCTGGGACCCACTCCCGAACAAAAATCCAGCCCATCCCGAGGCCCAGGTGGCTAATCACGGACTCCTGGGACCCACTCCCGAACAAAAATCCAGCCCATCCCGAGGCCCAGGGAAAGCCCAGGGAGTCCGAACACGGAGAGCGCACCTCTGGGACGGAATTCTCGCAAAGCCCGTTCGCTCCGTGCACGCGTGTGCCAACTCTGACTGCGGATCCGTGGTCTGGCGCGTGGGCGCCCGGGCCCACGGACCGGGAGAGACCCCCCCCCCTCCAAAGCATGAGGCGGCCATTGCCGCCCGATGTGGCGGCTGCGCGCGCTGACCTCGTGTGGAGCGGGGCCTGCCGCGAGTCCACGCGTGATCCATGCTTGCGCTTCTTCGACACACGCGAAGGGACACGCTAAGGGAAGGCCAGCTCAGAGGGGGAATCATCGACCCTGCAGGATGGGCCCATCGGGCCCCGCCCGCGATACATGGGCGACAAAGGGCTCGATTTAGGTCGGGCCTGTCCTCGTACAGGGAGATTTTGGAGGAAAAATCAAACATTGTTTTAAAGCATACCCCAGAATGGTCAAACATACTCAAAAAATCATCCCCAGAATATTCTTCCCCACATCCTAAATAGGGTTCTTGTTTTCTTTGGACACCCCGCGCAATCCTCCCACACCCCCTCTCTCTCTTCCTCTCTCTCGCCGCCATCATCATCAATCATCACCAATCATCAGCACGCATCACTCATCACCCATCACTCATCACTCATCACTCACCACTCATCATCATCATCACCATCAGCATCAGCATCAGCATCAGCATCATCATCGTCATCATCATCATCATCATCATCATCATCATCGTCATCATCATCATCATCATCATCCAGATCATCACTACCAGCATCGCTCGATCACTCACTCACCCACTCATCATCACCATAATCATAACAATCGTCATCACCACTCATCATTATCACGAACAGCATCCTCCTCCTCATCATCATCAACCATAGATCACCATCGCATTCCATTGTCATCATCCCATCATCATCATCGTCACCATCCTTTCATGATCATCGACCAAAAGAGAGCCTCGTCTGTAAGTGAATTGCGCGGAAGTCTCAGGCGGGAGCCCCCTCCCTCCCTATGGATGGGGCCCGCAAATCATGTTACGAACCCGCGCGGGTCATCCAAGACCTGTGACTATCGTCACGCTTGGGTTCCTGAGGCGTGAACTTGGAAGAAGTGTCAAGCGGGAGCCTCGTCTGTGAGTGAATTGCGAAGACGTCTCAGGCGGGAAGCCCGTCCCTATGGGGCCCGCATTTCATGTTAGAATCCGAAGCGGGTCATCCGAAACGTGTAAGTAACTGTCGTCAATTTTGGGCTCTTGAAGCGTGAGCCTGGAGGAAATATCAAACGGGAGCCTCGTCTGTGACTGGATTGCGAAAAAATATCATGCGGGAGCCCTCCCCTATGGGGCCCTCGCTTCATGTTCGAATCCGAGGCGGGTCATCTCAAACGTGTAACTGTCGTCACTCTGGGGCTCCCGAGGCGTGAATCTGGAGGACGTATCAAGCGGGAGCTTCGCCTGTGAGCGTTGTGCGAAAAAGTCTGCGGCGGGAGGCCCTCCCTATGGGGCCCTCCCTTCAGGTTGGTAATCCGAGGCGGGCCATCCGAAAACTTGTAATTGTCGTCACTTTCGAGCTCCATGGGCTGAATGTCGAGGAAGTCTCAGGCGGGAGCCTCATCTGTGCGTGACTTGCGAGGAAGTCTCAGGCGAGAGCCTTCCGCCTATGGGTTCCGCACTTCATGTTGGTAACCCGAGCGGGTCATCAGAACCCTGTGAATTTCGATGGCCCGCTCGGATTAGCAACGCAGGACGACCACCGGTGGCGGCGCCGGTGACGACGAGGGCGCCGAGGCGGGCGAGGGCGTGGAACACCCGGGCGCGCCTCCCTCGAAAGTCCACGCGCACTTCCAGCCGGTCCTGACGTGGGGCATCGGCGGGGAGCAGGACATGGCGGACGTGGACTTCGCGCGCCGCAAGCGTCTCACGAAGTTGACCAAAAAAAACTCCTCCCGCTCCCGTGGATGTCCGCGGCGGCCCGCGAGGGCGCGGGCGTGCCCGAGCCGACGGAGGCCGCGACCGTTCCTGCTCCCACGGCCGGGTACCAACCGCTGGTGACCGCAGCGCGCGAGGAGAGACACTCCTGGGCGAGCCTGCGTGACAACCGCCTCCAGGGCAATCGCGACGAGGATGACTCGGGCGCCGACGACGGCGCGGACGAGAGCGCTGGCGGCCTGGGCACCGACCCCGCTGCGGCCAGGTTTGACGGCAAAGTGCACTCCACGCCCAGCGCATCGCCGAACTGGTCGACGGTTTGCCGAAGGACCAGAGGTTCACGCGGGACCAGACGCTCTTCGTCGCCAAGTTCGCTCAGGCCTGCGACCAAGCATGAGAGGACAACGCGCAGAGGAAGCCCTGGAGCGACAGAAAAGTGACGCACTTGCTCCTGCTGGGCCAGGGCGGCTCGGGGAAGACTCGCGTGGTGCTGAAGATCGTCTTCCCAGTGGCGGAATATTTGCGGCCCGTCGTCGACGGACAAGGGCGCCATCATGGTCGTGGACTTCTCGAACGCGCAGGCGAAGGACATCTCCACGGAGTCTGTGAGGGCCAGAGCGCTGCACAACGCCTGTGCCCTGCGAATCCAGAAGTACATCAATGCGAAGATGAGACGGGGGGCATGCAGAAGAGGTTGACATGGCTGTGGGAGCACGTTCGCGTTCTGGTCATCGACGAGGTGAGCTTGGTGGCGGCAGCTTTGTACAACGCGCTGGACTTTCGCGCCTGCCACGAACGCAATGACACGCATGACGTGCAGAAGTCCACCTACGAGCGGCCGCACCACCACTTCGGGCGTGTCCCCATCTCACTGCACCTCGGCGATTTCCTGCAGCTGAACCTCACCGGCAGCATCGGGCCCCTGACGGACGTGAACGAGCGCCTGGACGACGGGCGCACGCACAGGCACGCGGAGCCGCCAACAGTGGAGATTCAGAACGCCATCAAGGTCTTCCCTGAAATCCCCAGCGTCTTCGAGCTTAAGAGCACAAAGCGCTTCGAGCCCGGGGACCCTCTGATCGCGCTCTTGGGTTGCACGCGCGAGGGCAAGCCCTTCCCACCGGAGGTCTGGTCCGCCTGGGAGAAGACGTTGGCCTCAGACTACGGGGGCCTCCTGGACCTTCGGCACCAGCACGAAAACTGTCTGCTCGGCTACGGCATGGGCATCTACTGGGAGACGCTCGCGAGGTGGATAAACACGCGCGCTCGTCGCGACGCGCGGCGTCTGGGCGCGCCCCTTGTTTTTCTGCAGGCCGTGGACGAGTGCGGCACGATTCAAGGCGACCCAGACGCGGGGCTGCGCCTCCTGAGTGTCCTGCACACGCGCAAGACGGGGGACATCCATTGCGTTTTACCGGCGCACGTCGGCATGGAGGTTCGGCTCACGGCCGCGCAAAAGGAGCTGAAGAAGTTGGGGCTCGTGCGTGATCAACGGGCCACCATCGTGTCCTTCGAGTTTCACGCAGACGACGAGCGCGGCAGTGACTACGAAAAGCGCGCGCCAGGCCAGCCCTTTCGCCCCCACTACCTACCGCAGGGAGACTGGCTGCAGGCCCGCGGTTTCAAAGAGTCTCCGATATACAAGGAGGTCGCCTAGCTGCTGCGACAGGGCGCCGATGGCACCGACGACGACGGCGAGGCCGAGGCGCGGGCGAGGAGGTTGCTCATGTTCAGGCCCAGCGAGCAGGAGCTCACGTGGCAGAGCTCGGGGACGCACACTGTGCGCCGCTCGGGGCTCGCCCCGACGCACGCGTCCTACTTGACTTCCACGCTGTCGCAGGGCCAGACGCTGCGCAAGGGAGTCACCATCGATTGCGCGAGGGACGAGGACGCTGGCCGCACGGGCATGTCGGACGAGCAGTGGTGGCTGCACCTCTACGTCATGTTATCCCGCACCACGCGCGTGCGGAACATGCTGATCCTGCGGCCGCCCTCGCGCGAGTTTCTGCAGCGCGGGCCACCTGTGTCCTTGCGGGAGGCACTCAAGAAGTTCGATGAGAAAGCGAAGACTTCCAAGGATGAGGCCGAGCAGCTCGCCGCGGAGCTCGGCTTCGTGCTGCCTCTGGCCTGAGCGCCGCGGCGCGCAACTAGAGGCCGGCGGGGGTGTCCCAACGGTCTTGATCGCGGGGTCGTGGGGTTGTCCCGACCCGACGGCCTGGCCTCGCGCCCCAGCGGCCCGCGGGTATGTCCCAAAGGCATGGCCCGCGGGGCTGCCCCAAAGGTTTCGCGATCTAGCCGTCGGCGAACGCGCGCGCGTTGGCCGAGGCGCCGTGGAACATCGATTTGCTTGCCCCGACCAGGGGGAAGGGGAGGTGCACATAGAGAAGCGGCAGGAGGAGGATGAAAACGGGGGAAGGGGTAGAGGGGGGGAGATAATGAGAAGGAGGTGGAAAAGCAGGAGGAGGAGAAGGATAGATAGCAGGAGGAGGAGAAGGAGGAGCAGGAGAGAGCCGATCTCAGGGCAAGAGGAGGATGTCCGCTAGGGCGACGGGGGAAGGGTTGAGGGTACGCTAAAAAGATTATCACGTGGGGTCATACCGCCGGAGTAATTCAATTATTTTTGAATATCCCTCCTGTAGAGGGACAGGCCCGACTTAAGGCTCAATGCGTTCCCCCGTGGGCCCATCTCGTCATCGCTCGGACGTCCGTTTCCCATGCGTTGTTCGATTGCGTGCGTGCTGCCTCGCCTCGAGATGACCCCCAGGTGTTCCACGGTGGCCCCGATTTCTAGCGCTGGCCTCGCCGACAAACATGCCGCCCCCCCCCGGTGGCCCCTGACCCCTGTCGGCCACCGGCACCCGGGGGGGCACCCTTGGGGGCGGACGAAGACAGCGCCGTGCTCTCCAGGCGACAGCGGTGCCGATCGCACGCCACACCTTGGCTGGAGGCCTCCTAGATGGGGTCGGAGTAGATGAAGTCGAAGGATCGCGCCGCATCGGCGATGCATCGGCGATGCGCCGGCGACGCCGGCGTGGAGAAGCACGGGCTCCACATCGAGCCGCATCGGCGATGCATCGCCGATGCGGCGCGATCCTCCGACCCCACCTGCTCCGACCCGGGATGGACCGACCGTCCCTGCATTCCTATAGTCCTACCACGATATGTTCTTAGAACCCAAAAACGTTCTAAGAACTGAAACAATGTTCTTAGAACGTGAACCCGATGTGTTAAAACAAGACAGACTCAGCCAGAAATGTTCTAAGAACATTTCGTGGGAAACCACAAAAGGATCTTAGAACATTGTTTGGTAGGCCTATATGCACGCCAGGACGCTTCGCCACTGCTTGATCCATACCCTCTGCACTCGCCGATCCTGGCGCAGAAGCGGGGCCTCCTCGACCGCACGGCCAGCCGCCGCCCGTGCCGCACCGCTCTCTGGCGAGGCGGCCGTGGCCCTCCGGGGCGGCAGGGGCTCGGGGGGAGGAGGGACCCCGAGTGACGGGCCCCCCGCCCTCCGCCGCCCCCCCCCCGGCCTCCCCGCCTCTCCGCCTCCCCCTCGCTGCTCAGAGCTCCTCTCCTCCTCTCCTCTTCTCCTCTTCTCCTTTCTCCGCAGCCCCGGAGAGCCTGGCTGCTTCCCTCCCTCCTCTCCCCCCTCCCCTCTCCTTCATCATGCCCCCTTCTCCAGGAAAGGGGGAAGGTGGGGCGGGGGGGGCGGGGGACGAAAGGAAACGAAGGGGATGGGTGGACGGGAGGGGATGATGGGGAGGCGGGGAGGAAAAGCGAGGATGAGAAGGCGGGGAGGAGAAGAGGGCGCGGAAGGAGAGGGGGAAGGGAGAGGAGAGGGGAGGGAGACGAGGGGGAGGGAGGCGTGGGAGGACGTGGAGGCAGACGAGGAATCGTCGAATGACGATGGGCGGGATGAAGGGGGGGGTCAGAAGGTGCGGGAGGTAGTCGTCCGAAGGAAGGAGGGGAATAGCAGGGGCAGGAGGCTGGGATGAGGAGGACGAGCAGCAGGCGCGGGAGAAGGAGGAGCGTGAAGAGGAACACGTTTCTCCTGGGTAGTCAACGAAACAGGCAATGGACGCATTCCCACAAGCAGGTTTATACTGTTGACCGACAAAAACTCCAGACCACTGGATGCAGGTGGCTGAAGCAAAACGCCAGCGCTTCCAGGCACACCATGGTCCTCTTCGGAGCCCACCCCCTTCCAAGTGATCTGAGCCCTTCTTGTCGCAGGCCTTCGAAGCATTCGGAAAATGTGGCCCTCGCTTGAGAAATATCCTAGACCTTGACAACCCCAATAATGGCACGAATGGAGGACGGCCCCACATCAAAATTACGTCTCGCCTGAGACTCCCTCACCAGTTGTAAGCCTACAGCTTGGCCGTCCAACGATCCAATATTGCGGGCGCACTATTTTCAGAACCACATTCTCGTCCGAGTGCTCTTCGCAATGAATTGTCCTAAAGCTTGGACGTTCCGACATCTATGAGGAACAAGTTTCGCCTTAGGCGTCATCACAACTTATGACACTAGACCTTGGACTTCACAGAGAACACCGCGGATATAACCGTTGCTCGAGACTTCCCCCACGCACAGCATGCAACTACAGCTCAATATTCCCATCAGTCACGCCCCACAGAGAACGACTGGCGGTTAGTTGTTTGTCCAAAATCGCGCCGTCGTTTCGGCGACGCCCGCGACGCTCCTACGCAAGCTGTGTTTCTAGCCAGGGCGATTCCGTTTTAATCTCACTGGGGCGTAGCATGATACGCGGTCGAATACTGGCGAGACAAATGCCTCGCGCTGTAGACACGGCAATACTCTTTCCGTTCTGGTGACGCCGCTACCTGGGGAAGGGCGGGTTCTGACCCTACCAGCCCTGCCAAGCACCAAAACACCTGGAGAGGCCGTCAGAGCTTCGCCACTCCAGCAGTTCCAGCTTCTGAACCTCTGGCCACCCTTCTTCTGAGGGGCAACGATAAAGGGGGGGAGCAGCTGAGGGGAAGACACATCGAGCTGGAGTCTGCGATACATCGCCGATACATCGGTGATAGGCCCCCGGTAGCAACTCCGCACCTTCCTGGATGGGGTGGGGCTATCAGACCCCAATCCGCGTAAAGTGGGCGATTGGGAGTCGATGCGTCCTTTCCCGTGACGCCCATGCCTTTACCTCCCGATCGTTGCCCCTGATCCTCCTCGACCTCTCCCACCCACTGGCCCCTCTTGCGAACCCACTGCCTCTGCTCCGCACGGTCCTCACCTTCCCTCTCCCCATCTACTACGCGTTCCCTCTCCGCCTCAACCTCGTACCCCGTCTCCTCCTCCTCCTCCTCCTCCACCTCCTCCTCCTCCTCCTCCTCCTCCTCCTCCCCCTCCTCCTTGTCCTCATCCTCCTCCAACTCCTCCCTCTCTTTCTCCTCCTCCTCCCGGTCTTCCTCCTCACCTGGGTAAACCAAGGAGAAAGAAAACAGCGAGGAGAAACAAGAACCACCGCCACAAAGATACCTTCGGGGGGGCGGCCGACCCCTGGGCGGTGGCACGCCTGAGCGTCGTCTGGCACCGGTTGACGCTCGGGTGGCCACCACCCAAGGGTCGGACCCCCGCGATGTGTTTCCAAAGGCGGTGCCCTGTGCCTCCTCTGAGCCACGGACTCTCGCACACACGCGTGGGATGCAAACGGGCCCGTGCAGTCTCCGGCCTGGGGACAAAAGAACTTCCGGCCTGGGGACAAAAGGAGGCATACGAGGAGCCCTGTCATCCCTGAGGGCCGGGCCTTCTCAGAAGGCTCGGATGTCCCCGGCCTTCCAAGAATCTTTTCTCATCCTTCCCCGAGGACGCAGAGGACTTCTCAGACGGCGCGAGAGCTTCTGAGAAGTTCCGCCGCCCTCTGAGAGGGCCTCTCCCCTCTCCTTTCCCCCCCTCGCTCGCCGCCGATCTCCGCCCTCCTGCCCACTGCCCGCCCTGGCAGGGGCCCAGCCCTGCCCCCACGCGTGCCCGTGCGTGGCCGCAGATGCAGCCTTCGGGGGAGAGACGCTGGGCACAGGCCAGCCCGGCAGTCAGAGCAAGCCGAGCAGGACAGGGGGCAGAGGCCGCACGTGCGCACGCGCGGCCCCAGCGGGAGAGAATGGCTTGCCCGCCCTTGCGGCCCAGATCCCCTGAAAACGGCACCGCAGATCGCTCCCGAGCATACGCCCGATCGGCCTAAGCGACATCCCCTGCGTCTAGAAATAACACCATCAGTCAACATCCCCCAAATCATTCCCATTATGATGAAGGAGCGAGCTCCCCATAGAGTCGTGTCCTGGGCCCCGGGGGCCTGTTCTTTGACGACGGGAACGGCGAAATGTCAAAGGGCCACGTTACCTCAGAAGCCCATTCGTGACGACCATGGCCCCCGACCCCGGCCTCCCACCCACACACGCGATCCATCCCAAGTGATCCCCCGATGGGCCGCCGAGGGCCGCCTGGGGCCGCCGAAGGCTGCCGAAGGCCGCCGAAGGCCACCAGGAGGGCCGCCGAAGTCCGCCGAGGGGCACCGAAGGGCCGCCGAGGACCACCGAGGGCCGTCGAAGGCCGCCGAGGGGCGCCGAAGGCTGCCGAGGGGCGCCGCGGGCCGCCGAGGGGCGCCGAAGGCCGCCGCGGGCCGCCCAAGGCCGCCGAGGGGCGCCCAAGGCTGCCGAAGGCCGCCGAGGGAAGACGTAGACCATCGAGGGCCGCCGAGGGCCGCCGAGGGCAAGCCGCAGAGGGCCGCCGAGGGCCTACGAAGCCTGGCGGGCGGCGTGCCGCCGAGGGCCCACGGCGGCGGGCGGGCGGCGCGCCAGAGCCTACGGCACAGCACGGCCCGCGCGGCGCCCAGGCGGTTTTGCAGCACCCGGTGCCGGAGCTGCTCCTGCTTGGTGGCGCAGCGCGGCCTCGGCGGAGAGGCCAGGATATAACAGGGGAGCGGCCGACCCCCATCCCAGGCTTCGTGGGTTTTTCGAATGGACCAACAATTTGGGGCCAAACCCTGGGATATACCAGGGGGGCGTCCATCCTCGATAGGGGTGCGTCCGAATACCTCCCGGGGGTGTATCCCAGTGTTCCCCTACTTCTCTTAGCCGCTTCACTTTTCGTTGAAAAGCGAAGCCTTCAGGAAACGCACCCAGGGAAGGGATCGAAGAGGGCAGGGCTGTTTGGTAAACGCCGAGGGGCTGTTTAGTAAACGCCGATTGTGGGGGTCGGGGTACTTTTCCTCCCTTGAGAGGATGCGGCCGGGGGGATTGCTTTCAGAATTTTGCCAGGGAGGTCAGTCGACCAGGGGTATGCGAGCGGGCGGCGGCGCGGACTCGCTTACTCCTGGGTGGCCTTGGAGTCGGCGGCGTCGGCGCAGAAGGCGAACCAGGGGGCGGAATGTTCCTCTGGGCCTCGGCCTTGGCCCGAGGAGCAACCAGAGGCACAGGCTCAGGCTCTCGGAGGTCCGCGCTGATTTCTTCGATCGGCACCGGGCCCCCCTGGCGAGAGGACAGCCCGGCGCTCCCGGCACTCATGGTCATACACCTGCTGCTTCTGCGACGCCCCGCGGCGGGGAAAACAGAAGGGCACCGTTGCCCGACGGTCCCTGGGGGCGAGCCTCGGGCCAGAGAGGGCCGCCTCGTGCCGCTGTGGAGCCCGCGGGGGGGCCCTCGAGCAGACATAGCCGCCTGAGTGCGCCGCGGGGCCCGGGCACCTGTTGTGGATCAAGTGTCGGGTCGGACGGGAGGGGAGGGCAGCAGAGGGGGGCTGACGAATCAGCTCGCGTAGCTGATGTCTCAGGCGCCTTCTGGCGCCAATGTATCGAGGCAGGGGCTTGGCGACGGGTCCAAGCCAGACACATGCAGCAAACTTGGTATCCCCCTCCCTTTCGTCCGATCCAACACTTGAACATCTTGCGGCTTGGGAGAGTCGCCCCTGGTGGTGCTTGGTCGAATCGATCGGTGCCCCGAACGCGAAGAAGGCAGGGAAGGGGCGGTTCCGAAATAGATGCATGTCCACCACCTGGAAAGACGACGTCCCAAGACCACCAGAAGCCAGTGGGCACGGATATATTCAGGTCTTAGGAGGGCCCAAATATATCCGCGTCTGAACCGCTTCAAGCCCATCCCTATCCCTGATCCGCCACCATGCCTGCACGGAGTGGGCGTGTTAGAATGCTCGTCTGTTGTCCGGGAGGTTCCGTAGAGTTTTCCAGGGCTCCCCCCTGGCCCACAGGCCACCCAATGGAGTCTCTGAAATTGCAATCTGGCGGTCTTTTTGGCTTCAAGACCGCCACGATAGCCTCCAAGACACTTGCAAGACAACGGAGACGACAACAGAACGGCTCAAGATGGTTCAAGACAGCTCAAAAGCCGCTCAAGACAGCCCCACGACAGCCAAATAGACCCCAAAGACAGCCCAAGAGGCCCCCAACGAGGGCCCCAAGACGGCCCAAGAGGTTCCTAAGCAGCCCAAGAGGGCTCCAAGATGCCTCCCTGGAGAGCCCAAGGAGGCCAACAGCGCTGATGTTCATTACATGTTTGAAGAAGTGCGGTTCTCGCCTGATCGGGTTTCCGACCACCAAAAACGGCCCAAGGCCCCCAGGAGGCCCCCAAGATAGCTCCAAGGCAGTCCAGGAGGCCCCCAAGAGGGCCCCAAGTTGGGCCGAGAGGACCCAAAGCTTGCCCACGGGGCTCCCGGGAGGGCCCCAAGGCGGCCTCGGAACGCTCCAGGAGAGCAGCACGACGGCCCAAAGGGGCCTCTTGAGCCGCCATTGGCGGTCGGAAACCCAAACTCGCCAGAGCATCGACCTCCCTCAGGAACCTCAAGAACAACCATTGGCCTGAGCCTCCTCGGGCTCTCCAGGAAAGCCTGTCGATGGGGAACCGCATGGCCTCCAGGACAGCCTACAGCCTTCAGGGCAGCCGTGACGGCACCAAAACGGCCAAAGATGGTGCAAGAGGCTCCCAAGGCAGCCCCATGGCAGACCAAAACGCCCCCAGGGCGGCCCAAGAGGGCTCCGAAAGGCCCTCATGGAGGGCCCGAGGAGGCCAAAACCATTGAGTTGCCTCAAGTGTTTGAAAGAATATGAGGTTCTCGCCTGGCTCCTAGGCGGCCCAAAGGGCCCCCAAGAGGGCTCTCAATCGGGCCCACAAGGTCCAACGATCGAGCAAAAAGCTCCCTAGAGGTCCCCCAAACGACCGTGAGCCGCTCCCAGAAGGCACCAACACTGACTGTCTGGAGAGGCTCCCACAGCGGCCTTTATAGGCGTCAGACGGGCCAACAATCCTTTACGACGGCCCAGAGGGGCCCAAGAGGCCCCCAAGAGGCCCCACGGGTCCCCAAATAAGCCCCAAGAAGCGTTCAGGAAGCTCCCAGGAGGCCCCAAGGAGGCCCCAAGAAGGCCACAAGAAGCCTGCTCCTCCTCATCCTCATTTCCTCCTCCTCCTCCTCCTACTCCTCCTCCTCCTCCTCCTCATTCTCCCCCTCCTCCTCCTCCTCCTCCTCCTCCTCCTCCTCCTCCTCCTCCTCCACCTCCTCGCCCTTACCGCGCGGACGAAGACGAGGTCGGAATAAAGACCTACCCCAATGCAGACGACTCGTCGCAATTGCGCCGTTCCTGCACTCGGCCTCCTTCCTGCTACGATGTTGCACAGGCGCGCTGGCGGGGCTTGCGGCATGCAGAGATAAACATGCTAACGGCGATGATCAATTCGGGATGTTCCCTGAACAACGTTGGGGAAACCTAGACATCGACACGGACAGACGGAGAACACAACCTTAGGAAGGATAGGGACCTGTTCCGGGCAAACGAACGTCCGCCACCTCTTGGGGACCTGGGGTATCGGCCCCCGACACGAGGGACGCGCACAAGAGCCACCATCGCTCTTAGCGGAGGTGGCGAAACAGCTCATTCAGTCCCTGTTCCAAGGCCCTTCTTCCCTCATTCGGACAGGTGTTGATAAGGGCGACCAGGTCTTCCGCGCGCGGGATGAGGGCATCTCGTCGAAAAGGGGCTCGAAGACAAGTGGGGGAGGCATGAGGTGGACGACGACGAGACACGATGAAACAACCGTTGAGGCCCCCGCGCCCCCGTCGCAGAAAGGCTTGCCCAGAATAAAATTTGGATTAGTAAAATCCTGCTGCAACAGCTCATCTGAGCCACAGGCCTGGACAAGCCTCCGAACCAGCTCAGACTTGCGGAACCAACCCGTCACTCTGGTGTTGGGCTCACACAGCCACGCTCGGTGCATCAAGGTTCCATAGGGGGGTTCTTACAACGAGGGCGCAGCTGGCCTTCAGGAGAGCCGAAGGGAAGCCTCCTAACTCAGGGCCACTGAGCTCCACCAACCACAGCCACAATGACCATTGAAACACCCTTCCTTAGGAAACTGCAAACGCTCTCGGCCAACGAAGAGGAGACCCCCTCTTTTCATCACACCTGCTCCTGTTTCGTGCTGGGACGCTGCATCCTACAGCTGTGCCCTGGGGCCGATGCGCAATTCGTTGAACAGCTCAGGAACATCAGAATCAGCAGGGTCATAGCCTGGTCTCGTGGACGCAGGGATGGACCAGGCTTCGAACAGGCCGCTGAAAGTGCGACATTGCCGGATTGGGGCCTCTCTAGGACCCAACCCCGCGTCAAGCAGCGTGGCCTGACACGCCGAATATGGACACCTAACTGTGCACCACTTGCCTCGACCCGAGCGATTGAAACGTTGAAGCGTAAGCCCCAAGTCAAGCTCGATCCTTGTGTGCAGGCGAGGATGCTTGTGGCAGAAAATCAGACATCACCTGCCTCTAGAGTTCAAGCCCATGATGTTAGTAGACCGTAAAAATATTGGAACACCGTGGTAAAACAACGTCCAGGCAGGTTGCCACAGGCCCGCGTCGCGGCCTGCCTTCGAAATTCCACCAGCCCTTTGGGCGACATGTGGTCCAGGGGTGATGTCTGCTTTCTTTCACAACCCATCTTCCCTTCGGGGAGGGAAGCCCCCCTCCCTTCCATTTCTGGGTATTTTGGGGAGGAGGGCCGATGTGTCAGAGGGTTATTTTTCTTCGGCCAGTGGGAGGCTCAATTTTTGACACCACTCACGAGGATCGTGGCCCCCGAGGGAGGGCAGGCATCGAGGACCCCCCCCCCACTTCTTTTGACCCACCGCCTCGAAGATGCCCCAGGAGGCATTCCAGGGATGCCCCCAAGCGAGCCCCAAGAGCGCCCCGAAAGGTCCAACATGCACCTGATAGGCACCCAAGAGGCCCCCTGGGCGGCCCCCAGAGAGGCCCAAGAAGCCCACCCGAGACAGGCAAGACGCCGTCTCGTCATCGTCCTCCTCCTCGTCCTCCTCGTCCTCGTCCTCACCATCGTCAACCTCCTCGTTCTTATCCTCCTCCTCCTCCTCCTCCTCCTCGTCCGCCTGTTTCTCCTCCTCCTCCTCCTCCTTCTCATCATCATCATCATCATCATCATCATCATCATCATCATCATCATCATCATCATCATCAGCATCATCATCATCATCATCATCATCACCACCGCCACCATCACCATCACCATCACCATCATCATCATCATCATCATCATCAGCATCATCAGCAGCATCATCATCATCAGCATCATCATCATCATACTCATACTCATACTCATCATCATCATCATCATCATCATCATGAACCTCATCATCATCATCAGCATCCTCATCATCACCATCATCATCAGCATCAGCATCATCACCATCACCATCATCATCACCACCGTCACCATCATCACCAAAACCACCCAAACCACCACCAACACAACCATCAGCAGCAGCACCCTCATCATCACCACCACCACCACCATCATCATCATCACCATCACCATCACCATCACCATCACCATCATCATCATCATCATCATCATCATCATCATCATCATCAT